GATCCCTCCCTGTGTGCTCCCCTCCGCACTGCACCAGCTCTGGAGGAAAACCTGTGCCCTGTTCATAGCGAACCTGCATCCCTGCGCAGCTCCTTCTGGAGACCAAGCGCAAGAAGATGCAATCACTCCTGGCGTCAGGTTCAAGGCAGCAGACCCAAGGAAGGGTGTATGCCTGCTAGAGATCTGGCCAGGTGTTGCCTGCAGCTTTCCAGCTAGCAGGAGAACACAAGCTGGGAAAAGCTGCGAAACAGACGTGTGGCAATGACTCTGCGTGCGCTGGAGGAGCCCATTTCTGATCCAGCCCTAATATGAAGGGCCAGAGCAGGAGTCAACACAGGGAGCAGCTCCCAGAGAGGCCTTGGCACACAAGGGACGTGAGGGCAGGGCAGCCACAGCGGCAGGCAGGACATGCCAAGTGCCCTTCACAGCTGCATGGGAGGCTGTAACGATGCTGCATCCTGACAGTACTAATGGGGAGGGAAAGCACAGCTTGACATGGTCAGGGGAAATTGCTAACAGACAGGGAAAAGCTTCCCAAATCGGCTGTTGCAGGAAGGCTCTCCTGCCCTAGTCCTTCAGGGCCTGGGATTTATGATGCCTCTAATGCGCCCTGCTAGTGTCAACGCACCGAGGGACAGGCAGCTACATGGGGTTTCCATCGCTCTCACATCCACGTGTCTGAGCTGCTCTCTAATGCAGGGCAAATTATCGCAGCCCCCTCCTCTGTGCACGTTCTCCTTCATAACCTTTAATTTTAAGACCATTCCCAAGTACGTATATAGGTATTTATCTGTAAGTGATGCTCTGAGAAGAAGGATTTCGTTGTTAAGAAAACCTAGAGAATAAAACGAGCAATCTAGCTTTTGTTGCTTCTTCCCAGCCAGTAAAACAGAGACAGCTTTTTTCCCAAATTCCCAGCACACATGCATGCAAGAGGGATTCATTCTAAAACCAAAACCAAACATGCAAACAATTACAGAACTTGTTTGTTCTTTGCTTTCTTGTGACATTTCTTTTTTTATTTTTTTTTTTTAAGTCTTTTGCCTATCAAGTAACCAGATTTAATGCGGAAAGAAAGCTATTTTTAAGACAGATTTTGGGATGCAGAATAAATCTCAGGAGTTTTTTCCCCTCCAGTAACCATTTGCTGTGACCCTAGCTAAGGAGGGGGATTCTTTTCATTGTAATTATTAGCTACAGAAGGCCATAAAAATGACTAATTGTCCATTCTAGCCACGTCAAAGGTATAACTCACTTCTGGTTTTATTGAAGTTAACACTAATTTATAGCTAACAGTGCTATGCAACCCAAAACAAAGCAGTGCAGCTTTGATATTCCAAAACAAACTTGCAGGAAAACATAGAATCATAGAAACATAGAATGGTTTGGGTTGGAAAGGGACCTTAAAGATCATCTGGTTCCAACCCCCCTGCCATGGGCAGGGACACCTTCCACTAGACCAGGTTGCTCAAAGCCCCATCCAGCCTGGCCTTGAACACTGCCAGGGAGGGGGCATCCACAACTTCTCTGGGCAACCTGTGCCAGTGCCTCACCACCCTTGTAGTGAAGAACTTCTTCCTTATATCCAATCTAAATCTACCCTCTTTCAGTTTAAAGCCATTATTCTTTGTCCTATCATTTTGTGCCCTTGTAAAAAGTCCCTCTCCAGCTTTCTTGTGGGCTCCCTTCAGGTACTGGAAGGCTGCTAGAAGGTCTCCCTGGAACCTTCTCTTCTCCAGGCTGAACAACCCCAACTCTCTCAGCCTGTCCTCATAGGAGAGGTGCTCCAGCCCACTGATCATCTTCGTGGCCCTCCTCTGGACTTGCTCCAATGGGTCCCTGTCATTCTTATGCTGGGGGCCCCAGAGCTGAATGCAGTACAGCTGCACACAGCTGAATGGTGGGGTCTCACGAAAGCAGACTAGAGGGGCAGAATCCCCTCCCTCAACCTGCTGGTCATGCTTCTTTTGATGCAGCCCAGGATATGGTTGGCTTTCTGGACTGCAAGTGCCCATTGCCGGGTCATGTTGAGTTTCTTATCAACCAACGCCCCCAAGTCCTTGTCCTCAGGGCTGCTCTCAATCCATTCTCTGCCCAGCTTGTATTTGTGCTTGGGATTGCGCTGACCCATGTGCAGGACCTTGCACTTGGCCTTGTTGAACTTCATGAAGTTTGCACAGGCCCACTGCTGAAGCCTGTCAAGGTCCCTCTGGATGGCATCCCTACCCTCCAGCGTGCCGACCGCACCACACAGCTTGGTGTCATTGGCAAACTTGCTGAGGGTGCACTCAATCCCACTGTCCATGTCGCTGACATGTTAAACAGTGCCGGTCCCAATACGGACTCCTGAGGAACGCCACGCCTCACTGATCTCCACTTGAACATCGAGCCATTGGCCACAACTCCTTGAATGCAACCATCCATCCAATTCCTTATCCACCGAGTGGTCCATCCATTGAATCCATGTCTCTCCAATTTAGAGACAAGGATGTCGTGTGGGACAGTGTCAAATGTTTTGCACAAGTCCAGGTAGGTGACATCTGTTGCTCTTCCCTTATCCACCAATGCTGTAACCCCGTCCTAGAAGGCCACCAAATTTGTCATGCACAATTTGCCCTTAGAGAAGTTATGTTGGCTGTCACCAGTCACCTCCTTATTTTTGATGTGCCTTAGCATAGTTTCCAGGAGAATCTGCTCCATGATCTTGCCGGGCACAGAGGTGAAGCTGACTGGCCTGTAGTTCCCTGGGTCTTCCTTTTTTCCCTTTTTAAAAATGGGGGTTATGCTTTCCCTTTTGCAGTCAGTGGGAACTTCACCGGACTGCCACTACTTCTCAAATATGATGGATAGTGGCTTAGCAACATCATCCACCTGCTCCCGCAGATGCATCTCACCAGGTCCCATGGACTTGTGCATCGTCAGATTCCTAAGATGGTCTCGAACCTGATCTCCTACAGTGGACAGTTCTTCAATTTCCAGTCCCCGCCTTTACATTCTGCAACTTGGGCAGTGTGGCTAGAGCACTTGCCAGTGAAGACTAAGGCAAAAAAGACATTGAGTACCTTGGCCTTCTCCATATCCTGGGTAACCAGGTCTCCCGTTTCCTTGCAGAGAGGGCCCATATTTTCCCTAGTCTTCCTTTTATCACTGACATACTTACAGAAGCTTTTTTTATTGCCCTTGACATGCCTGGCCAGATTTATTTCTATCAGGGCTTTAGCTTTACTAAATCCTTATCGTAGAAGGATATAAAAATGGTTGAACAGGACTTTCCCTTTGTGAACCCAGGCTGACTGTGCCTGCTGATTGCATTAGTCTTTAAATGCCTTTCAGTAGTACCCAGTGTAATCTTCTCCATCATTTTTCCAGGAACTGAGATTACACTCACAGGTCTGTAGTTGCCTGGGTCTTCCCTCATGCCCTTCCTGTGAGCTGGAATAACGTTGGCCAGCTTCCAGTCAGCAGGGACCTCCCCACACTCCCAAGACCTCTGGCAGATGATCAAGCCCGTAACATCCGCCAGCTCCTTCAGTACTCTGGGCTGAATCCCATCAGGCCCCATGGACTTGTGAACATTCAGCTGATACAGATGGTCCCTGACAAGTTCAGTGTCCGCAAATGGAAAGTCACTGCTCCCACACTCGTGGGCCTCCGACTCAGGGGACCGGGCAGCGCAAGGTCTATCACTATTATTAAGGACTGAGGCAAAAAAAGCACTGAACGCTTCTTCTCCATCCCTATCACTCAGGTGACCATCTTCAACGAGTATCGCTCCAACGTTTTCTTTAGATCTCCTCTTGCTATGAACATTCTTCAAAAAACCCTTCTTGTCGTCTGACGCAGCACTGGCCAGTTCAACTCTAACTGAGCTTCGGCCTTTCGTGTCTTCTCCCTGCATGTGCGAACCACGGCTCGGTCATCTTCCTGCGAAGCCTGACCTTGCTTCCAGAGATCGTACAATTCCTTTTTCCTCTGGAGCTCCACGAGGAGTACCCTGGTCAGCCAAGCGGTCTCCTGCCCCGCCTGCTTGACTTCCGACACAGGGGAATTGCCGGCTCCGGAGCTTCTCCAAGGTGCTTCTTAAAGACTGACCAGCACTCACTGACTCCTGAGCCCTCAACAGCAGATTCCCAGGGCACTCTGCTAAGCACCTCCCTGAAGAGCTTGACGGTTGCTCTCTCAAAGTCCAGGCTAGCAACTCTGCTGTCCTTTTTTCTCCTTACACTGACAATTTTAAACTCAACGATTTCATGATCACTGTGGCCAAGACCATCCCATCTCCCACGAGCCCTCCTCCATTCACAACTAGCAAGTCTAGGATGGAATCTTTCCTAGTTGGCTCCCTCAGTACTTGTGACAAGAAGTTCCCTCCCACAAAATTCAGGAATTTCCCAGACCTGCTCATCACAGCAGTATGGTATTCCCAGCTGATGCCTGGGAAGTTGAAATCCACCATCAGGAGAAGGGCTACCGATCCACAGATTTCTCCTAATTGCCTACAGAAGAACTCCCCAGTGCTGGCAACCCAGCTGGCCGATGGGTAGCAGACACCCACTGTAACATCTGCTTTGTTTTACATCCCCCTAGTCCTCACCCAGAGGCTCTCAACCACATCATCACTGACTGTAAGGGCTGTACCATCAAACCTCTCCCTTACAAACACTGCGACACCTCCACCTCGCCTGCCCTGCCTACCCCTCCTGAACAGCCTGCACCGTCCATCCCGGCACTCCAGGCACGGGACTCGTTCCACCTAGTCTCACTAATCCCAATGATATCCCAGCTCTGGGAACAGAACAAGGCTTCCAGCCAAAGGCACTTGCGCCCACAGCCCCTGAGAGCTGCCTGTAGGGGCCGGGGGCACCCCAGGCCCCCTTAGCCCTTCCCCTCCCAAGGAGGAGCCGGGGAGGCTGGTGGGGCAGGATGGAACACGGGGAGCCCCCACATTCCCTCCTGGGAGACCTCAGAGAGTCCTTAGCAGCCAGCAGACACAACAGACCATGGCGCAGCCACCACTGCGGCTCGCACCACGCGGCCGCTGGGCCCCCCCGGCGCGCCAGCTCCTTCAGACTTTTGTGCTCCCTCAAACCTTCTACCTCCAAGGTAGGGACCGACCCGACCCCTGCAGCATGGAGACACTCTTGGGGGCAAAAGCGGAGGTGACCGCTGGCCAGCGCTCCTATCTCTCTTTCAGGCTCAGCCAACCTGTGCCACCTGCCCGGCCAGGAGCAGCCCTTGCTCACAGCCTGGGCACCTCCAGTGCAGGTGGCACCCCCAGCCCCCCAGGCACCGCCAGCAGGTATGACACCCCTCTCTGTGCTGGCACCCCGGCACCTTCAGCATCCCCAACACCCGGGCACTCCCAGCATCCCCACCACCCCCGTCCCCCTGGCAGACATGGCACGGCGGCTCAGCAAGCCTCGGCGAGCAGCCCTGCCCTCGCCTGGCTGCTGCATGCCCAGTAAATCCAATTGCCAGAGAATTTCCCAAATACTTCGGGCCATCTCTCCCATTTCACCTCCTAGAAGCAAGTTTCCTCCCTGATTTGCAACCCCGTCCCACTGGCACAGCAGCCCACCCTGCAGGAAGCGCCTCGCTCACAAGCTCCCCACCTTCCTCGTGCAGAGCTGGGGGACACTGGCAATGGGGGCCAGCTCAGCACGAGCCCCTAGAGGGTCCCCGCGACCCAGCACGGCTCCCACTCATCCACACAGGTCTGCAGAGGGCTCCATGCGGCTGCTTCTTTGACCCTCGGGTCTTCCACATCCAGTGGACAAGCACCAACCTGCCCCCCTCAGCCACCATCACGCTTGGCCACGGCACCGCTTCTCTGCCAGGTCCTGCCCTGTGTGGCCCCATGGTCTACGGGATGCCCCTGGCCTTGGCAGCCCCAGGGACGCCCCAGGGCCAACCACAACAGTTCCCACCCTACAACTGTCAGGGGAGAACCATGGCCACAGACCCCCAGGTGGTGCCGACATCCAGCCCCGGCTACCAGCACACCGAGGGGCAGTCTGCACAGATCAACATCTCCGGCACGGACACCCCCACCACGGCATCCCTAGGCAGCAACATCCCCCCGGGCAGCAACGTCCCCACTAGCCCCTGTGCTACCCCCGACAACCAAACCCTTGGGGACCTGGCCAGTGACCTTGCAGTGCCCGACAACGTGCTTCTTGAAGAGGCCCTAAGTCTATTTGGTTGGTCCCTGGACACGGCGGGGGTCAGCCAGGACAGTCCTGCCTACGGCCCCATGCCTGGGGACCCTGGTTGCGCCAGCGGAGAGGGAAGAGTGGTGGCCCCAGCCACCCCAGTGTTGCCAACATCCAGCCCCAGCTACCAGCACACCGAGGGGCAGTCTGCACAGACCAACATCTCCGGCACGGACACCCCCACTGCAGCATCCCCGGGCAGCAACATCCTCCTGGGCAGCGACGTCCCCACCAGCCCCTGTGCTACCCCCAACAACCAAACCCTTGGGGACCTGGGAGGCCACCTTGCAGTGCCTGACAACGTGCCTCTCGAAGAGGCCCTAAGGCTCTTTGGTTGTTCCCTGGATGTGGTGGGGGTCAGCCAGGATGGTCCCAGCAGCGGCCCCATGTCTGGGGACACTGGTGACACCAGCGCAGCCATTCCGCACTGTGACTTTGCCTCGCTCTTGCTGCCTGAGGACCTGCTCACCCCTGACTACAGTGTTCCTGAGACTGCCGATGCCATCCTGAGCTTTGAGGAATTCTACAGCATCGGGATGGAGCCCCGGGAGCTGTGGGAGGATGAGGGGACGCCCCTGCCACCTTCCCAGCCTGCCATGTCAGAGAAGCAGGGCCAGAAGCGGAGGAAGAGCACCTTGCCACAGCCACCTAGCAAGCGCAGGGCTCTTGCAGCCAGCACGGGGGTGGAGGGGGGGGATTAGATCCACCGCAGGGATGAGATGGAGATGGGGGAGTGGGAAAAAAAAAGGGGGGCTGGGGGCTTAGAGTAGCTTTGATGGGACATTTTCCCTGGGTTGCTTTTTACCATTAAAAGCTTTTTCTCCAGAACTGCTCCATGCCCGTGTTGGGAGGGGGAGGGAGCGCAGGGGCCACCAGGAAAGGGCACTCAAGAGGTGCAAAAGCCCCGCTGAGCCCCAACTCAGAGCCAGTGAGCCCTGATGGGCACCAAGCCACCCCCAGGGCTGAGTCACCGCCAGTGGGGCAGGCAGTGGCTGAGGGGACTCCCCTGTCCCCTTCCCCAGGGGAAACAGCCCTTTGGCGGGGAAGCCAGGACAGACAGGTCCCTGCAGGCCTCACGGACACAGCCCCACGCAGAACGCAGCATGCAGTCCCTGGGACAAGGACAGACCTTGGGGAGGGGACAGACACACATGACAACAAGGCTTGCGAGGCCTTCGTCTTGAGCATGACCAGCATCGCCTCCAGCAGGGACAGGGCTCGGTGCAAAGCCCTTCAAAGCCTCAAGACAATCACGCCCTTCCTCAGGTCCCACTGCGCTCAGCTCCAGAGCCGGGCTTTGCCTCACTGCCATAGCAAAATAACCCCAAATCACCCCAAGAATGGGGAGGGAGGGAGCTGCAGGGCGGGCAGGGACCCTCCTCCCCTTGACTGGCTGCACCTTGGGCAGCTGCAAGACCAGGAAGGGGGAAAAAAATAATAAAAAAGGCACTGCACCAGCACCAGAAAGCGCCTGGAAGCTTCTTCTCTTGATTGCCCATTTCCCATCTGAGCTCCACAACTTGGGGCCAGTGCAGCCAACGGCGCCTTCGGGAAGCGGCCTCGCCTTTCTGGGTCTGGCTTGCAGAAGGTGCAAGGTGAGGTCCCCGTTGGGGCAGCCCCCCAGCGCCGGAGGTCGGGGGGGGATAAGCCCCTTCCTTAGGGCAGTCTCAGTGACGCCGCTGGGGCGGTGGGAGCCGCTCTGGACCCCCGGCAGGCACAGTCCCGTTGGCGTCAGCAGGGGCACCTGGTGCCGCTGCTGCTCAGCGTCTCGCCTCGCATGCTCACCCTCCCCGAGCATCGGCCTTGCCCCAAAACTCCTGTTCCCTGCAGCAGCCACACCGCCACTGCCCGCAGCTCTCGGGGACCGCAGAGAGTTATTCTGCTGGAGAGAAGGAGAAAAACAGAAGAAAAGAAAAAGCCCAGACCCAAACTTCAGGGCTGACCTAAAGTTAAAGCATGGTCTTAAGGGCATTGTCCAAATTGACTTCTATTGAGCCTGCTGCCGACCAGCACCCCCAGATCCCTTTCTGCAGGGCTGCTCTCCAGCCACTCCTCTCCCCATTTAGACTTGGCGCTGCTTCCTCCCAGGTGCACAATCTGGCATTTGGACTTGTTCAATTTCATCCCATTAATCACTGCCCAATGCTCCAACCTATCTAGACCTTCTGCAAGGCCTCTTGTCCCTCCAGAGAGTCAACAGCACCTCCCAGTTTGAGATCACCAGCAAGCTGGGTAATGGTGCATTCAACTCCTGCATCCAGATCATGGATCAAAAGATTGAACAGCACTGATCCTAGGATGGAGCTCTGAGGAAGACCGCTGGTGACTGGTCGCCAGCCACATGTAGCCCCATTCACTACAACCCTTTCAACCCTGCTGTCCAGCCCCTTCTTCACCCAGCGCACCGTGAACCCACTCATCCCACAGCTGGACAACTTGTCCAGAAGGATGCTGTGACAGACAGTATCAAAAGCCTTACTAAAATCCAGAAAAACGACATCCACCACCTTCCCTTCATCCACTGGGCGCAGGACCTTATCGTAGAAGGACATCAAATTGGTTGAACAGGACTTTCCCTTTGTGAACCCAGGCTGACTGTGCCTGCTGATTGCATTAGTCTTTAAATGCCTTTCAGTAGTACCCAGTGTAATCTTCTCCATCATTTTTCCAGGAACTGAGATTACACTCACAGGTCTGTAGTTGCCTGGGTCTTCCCTCATGCCCTTCCTGTGAGCTGGAATAACGTTGGCCAGCTTCCAGTCAGCAGGGACCTCCCCACACTCCCAAGACCTCTGGCAGATGATCAAGCCCGTAACATCCGCCCGCTCCTTCAGTACTCTTGGCTGAATCCCATCAGGCCCCATGGACTTGTGAACATTCAGCTGATACAGATGGTCCCTGACAAGTTCAGTGTCCGCAAATGGAAAGTCACTGCTCCCACACTCGTGGGCCTCCGACTCAGGGGACCGGGCAGCGCAAGGTCTATCACTATTATTAAGGACTGAGGCAAAAAAAGCACTGAACGCTTCTTCTCCATCCCTATCACTCAGGTGACCATCTTCAACGAGTATCGCTCCAACGTTTTCTTTAGATCTCCTCTTGCTATGAACATTCTTCAAAAAACCCTTCTTGTCGTCTGACGCAGCACTGGCCAGTTCAACTCTAACTGAGCTTCGGCCTTTCGTGTCTTCTCCCTGCATGTGCGAACCACGGCTCGGTCATCTTCCTGCGAAGCCTGACCTTGCTTCCAGAGATCGTACAATTCCTTTTTCCTCTGGAGCTCCACGAGGAGTACCCTGGTCAGCCAAGCGGTCTCCTGCCCCGCCTGCTTGACTTCCGACACAGGGGAATTGCCGGCTCCGGAGCTTCTCCAAGGTGCTTCTTAAAGACTGACCAGCACTCACTGACTCCTGAGCCCTCAACAGCAGATTCCCAGGGCACTCTGCTAAGCACCTCCCTGAAGAGCTTGACGGTTGCTCTCTCAAAGTCCAGGCTAGCAACTCTGCTGTCCTTTTTTCTCCTTACACTGACAATTTTAAACTCAACCTTGCACTTGTCACGAAATGCAGCGACTCCCCCCGGCTATTTAATTGTCACTTTGGGCCTTTGAAAAGTCCCTCAGAGGACTGAAAAGGAACTTTGGTACTCATGTGGTTATGGAGTTGGCAAACAAAACACTTCCTTATAGATACCATCAGCTGGGCTTATATCTTACTTTTACAGAAGTTACACTGTGTCCTGTCATAGGGGAAATGCGAGAAATTAACTGAAATCAATCTTTCATATCTTTGAAGACCTACAAGGCCAAAATCAGCATGGATTCAGGCTGGGATAAATCCAAGAAAACAACCCCACTGCCCGTCCTTGCAGCAGCCAAGAACGCAGCCCGAGCTGCAATCGGAATTTTGGAAAGCGAGCGTGCAACCCCTGAAGGGCTCCAGGTTTTGAAGGCTGATAGTGAGATCAAATTGAGCAGGTGTGCAGGTTTGGCTTCGCATTTAAACAACCACAGAAAATTTGCCAGGTAGGCAAGAAAGGTCTCTTATTTGCTATAGGCACAACCCAAATATTTCTGGCTAAACAAACTTTTGACTGGTAAGGGGAAGAGACGTGTGGAGAGACTGTGTCTGAGAGGGGTGTGTGCAGATCCGCAGCAGGATGGATCTCGAGGCTAAGCCCATCACAGGCAAGCAGAAACCTCAAAAGAAAGGCAGAGCAATAAACATGTATGGACCCTGTAGAAAAACTGAGTGATTCCTGCTAGTGCCACTTACCAATCTAGCAGGCTTTAAAAAGGCCAATGGAAAAACACCTCGTAGGAGACCATGCTGTCTGGTGCCAGATAGGTAGCTAGCAAGACTTCTGCACTTTCTGCTTCTCGTGTGTTTGCTTAGGACAAACCAAAATTCAGCCCTAGATGTACTCATACTAGTTCTTAGCTTTGCTGTGGAGTTATAGTAAAATGTACATAGCACAGACTTTTTCCACCTTTGAAACACAGTTTAGCAGTCTCTTTCTATAATCAAACTTTGCTCAGCAACTAGTGCAAGACCTCCTTTGGAAGTAACGCTTTGCTGCATATCATTCACATACTGTGCTCTGCCTGGCTGCAATCTCATGCCACATGGATTTACCTCATTAATGAACTGTTGCATTCAAGTGATTTGAGAGGTTTGAATTCATTTTGAATTTATGATAACCGTGCAGCTTGGGAGGAACGGAGTTTGCATGTACACCTGGTCTCAAAAATGTACTTATGAGAAGCGGCAGGTTTTGACAAGCATGAAGGGAAATGTCAGCAATAGCATCAGTCATGCCCTTAAGTGGTTAGCTGCTTTGACGCTGCTTGAGCTCAGGGGATTAAATAGCCTTACTGTGTACCAGGGGTCATGAAAGTGTAGAAAGAGGTTCAGCAAGTACTACCCTCTTTCAAACACAGTGGGAGAGGAGCAGCTTGTCAGTACAAGTATTCTTCGAGCAATAGCATTGTCAGCAATATTGACAGTTTGGGGCAAAGATTCAAAATGCACCAGCTTTTGGTTGAACAGATATTAATCTTTAACAGCAGTTTTTTGACCAAGGCAAGTGAGGGAATTCCTCATGATTTCTCCTTTTGTTTCCTGATATCCAACAAATAATAAATAATTGTTGAAATAGGTAACTTAACCTGGGCTGGTTTTTAAATCAGTGAAGAAGTTGTTTTCTAAAACACATCTCCAAACAGCACAAAATACCAGTTTAACAGGACCTTAAGCATACTGGTCTCTTCTGTCACACTGATATAAATTCTCCTGCACCTTTGGAGTCATGTAGTACATACCTTGCTAATGAAAGCTCTCAGGGAGGCGAACACATGCTTGAGAGCTGCTTCTGACTGCCCGTTTTTGAGAAAAGCCAGATGAATATCAAAAACCTTCTTCATGAGTGGGTTGTGGCCATCGTTGCTTAAAAGCTGGGTCTGGAAAGCAATGAGAGAATTTATTTTGCAGAAATGTTGTGCCTGAAGCTGGCAATGACAGAGATCATTTTGCGTAATTAATCACATCAATTCTTGAGCCAGATAAGGAACAGGGCCTTCAGTAAAAATATAACCAATAAATGTGACAACCAGTACAAACTTACACTAATTGGTCAGAGGCTATTTTTATAGCAGAGAATAAAACAAAAATATTTTATCACTTTTGCATCACTAATTCCAAAA